TTAATTCCACTGTTTTTAATTTATGTTATTTGCAATGGTTCATAGGATTGGTTGGTTTGGCTCATGGCTTGTAACGCTTTAATGAAGACTTTTTAAAATCCCTATGGGAAAAATCAATGGAAATAACACTTCCAAAACAAGGGCCATGTTGCAATCAATAGAGATGACAAAATGTCCTGTCACTCATTGCTTGTCATGGTCAGCTGGGACAAAAACTTATTAAAATGGCAGTGATGTTATCACATCATGTCTGGTTAGCACTCAAGGTTAAGCTGTTTTATTATCAAAGGAGTACAACAGAAGACAATCAAGACCTGCCTATGGGACTGTGACTGCACTTTTAGACATTCGGATTAAAAAAAGATGAAAAATTAATGCAAGATGAAAGCCACAAATTTCCTATCTTATCTAAAACACGCAGCTCGAAAATGTTCTTCTAGCTAGCTTTTTGTTGTTATTTAGCTCAACACTAAATTACTCCACTTGTTTGTATGAACAAGAGGAGGTAAAGGACTTCGCAGTCAGGTCTGAGAGTATTTCTAGAGGAGACACGGGTGGCAAAGCTCGTCTCTCGCCACTTACAAATGCCCCTTTTCAGAAATTCAGCCGATTTCTCCACCAAAATGATCCTTTCCTTACACACTTTCTGACCTGCTCACAGCTGGCTATTTTCTTACAGGTGAATAAACAAATAAAGGAAATGCAGAGTGTAGAGGACAAAACAATGTATCTTTTCACAGCTCTGACAAAAGCCAGTTCAAAGCAGCATAAATCATAATTACATGTTGCAACAATGAGCAACATGAGAAGTGCTTTGTGACAGGGAATAGCTGAGAGGCTAACGTGATTCACCTCCCAACGTCAGACCCTTAAATTAGCTCCTGCAGATAGTCTCCCACCAAGAAAAAAGGCGGTGCTGCTAATTAAGTGTACAATAATCACAAGTCATAACAAGACATAAGTCAAAAGTCCAAACCGAATGGAAAAAAATGAAAAGACATGGGGCAGTCCACAGTTTTTTTTATATTTCCTTTTAAGGAATTCCTAAAACATGATGTAGTCAGCCACCCTACATCGCTTTTAAACAGCCAATGCAACTGAGGAAACATAATGCCTGTCAGAAGTGGAAATCAAGCTTTTCAAAAACAAAGCTTGTTCAGAAGCATTGTTTCGTGGCATATTCAACACTGCGTGCATAGTTTTGTTTTGTTCAATTGCAAATGAGTTCAGCAGACCTATGCAGAGATCAGAGAGAAGAGAACTTATCAAAAATGATTCTATTATTACAGAAATCATTAAACGCTTACAGAATAACAATGCATCAGACGGCATCTTTTGACTGTATCGTCACTCCGCACTAAAACGATAGCACACTCAGAAGCTAAGGTACATTTGTTTTTGTTAAACTGCCAGCTATTTTCCATAACTTAAAAATACAGTGATAATGTCTGAGATATTACAAGATTGAATTTTGGTGACTGTATTACAATCTCTAACTGTATTTGTCATTAAATTACATAATATTAATATGCCACCCTATCACTAAAACACACAACAATCAAGCTGATACATATGTCCTATCTATCTCTCAAATATATAATTTTCACCATTAATAAATAGTTTAAACATGCAGTCTTTAACTGTAGCATTTTAGCATTCTTTGTCCATTGAAATTTAAATAAGGAAAAATAATTCAAATTAATCCATTTTGTAGACATTTCACTCCTTTTTCTGTTGTGTATAATAAAAATAAAGCTCTACCAGTTCTGAGCATGTCATTCCTGTTTATCAAAGTTAATCTTACATTTATCATCCACGTATGAGCGACTACACTCTATAAAAGCGGTTCAGCACCTGGAGCTGTCCAGTGCATTATTACTAATGACCGTCTGCTAAACCACATTACACACGACCTACATAAAACTAAAGAAAAATCAAATCTAACTGTATTTCATCACTATAACAACAGTCGCTCAAGAATTAAAGGCTGCCAGTCTTGAACAATTCAGTGCTTTGGAACAATTACATTGTTAAGTGGGATTAGCCTACCTATCACTCGCCACATCAGCTCACTATAATGCGGTTGTGCAGGGACTGTTGTTGTCTCATTACACAACACAGCGAGCCTGCTGATGATGCAAATGATTTATTCCTTCATGGCTAAAGTTTTATATTTTCCCACATTTTCCGACATATAGCAATTGTAATGTATCATGAGGTTAACCATTCCTTCGATAAATGTCAAAACCGAGTTTTGAAATGTCTTCTTGAACATCATCCTTAATGCATGGGTGCTCTACAGTAAGGAAAAAGTTATTTATAGTGTTGTACGGGACAAACCACAACATCCGCTGTTACTTCTCCCTATAGACTGGTTATTTATTCTATTCTATAATTGAATCAGGTTATAAATCTCGCTGACCGCCTGAAACAAGTCATCCAATATAATTTCCACGGTCGTTTAATCTTAACCAGCTGTGCTGTCGTAAAGATCATATCCGTTCCAGCGTAGTTTTTGTTGCATTTGACGATCTACTTGCAGCGGCTGAGCAATGCTGATGTCAAACCGCAAGCGTCTTCTTTTGTTTCAAAACTGCCTGTATTTATTGCATTTACACAACGAAGAGATCCTAAAGACAGTTATGTTAAAATATGTAAATGCGTATTGGACATGCAAGGCTTCCCGTGTCGCCTTGCGTTGTATTTACACGGACATTTGTAAAGCACTCTGTAAAACATGGCTGTGCGCTGTTTGCCACTGTAGAGCCCGTAATGATGTAACCCGCACTGCAATACTCCAACCATACACAGCAAACATGTATTCCATGAAAAATAATGGAAAGAGCACTCACGGTGTGTCATGGATGCGTCCTCTGCTGACATGTCTTCGGTGAAGTGCCAGGCACCCCAGAAGTGCTGGTTAATTGTATGATGCCCGCTGCTCTCCACTGCTGCTGTTGGTTCAGATGCTCTCAGTGAGGAATCAGAGAGAGTCTGAGCGCCACAGCTGAAGATTTAATATAAAACATCACCGACACAGCACTACATAACGCTCATGTCCTGTTCAGATGGGCTTTAGGCTACTTCCTGTTTGTTTCGGGTCCTAGAGACCCCTGTGCTGTGTTGCTACCCTTACGCAAAGGAAATATATTTCTATATACCTATATTAACGATCAAAATGGAATTATTTTATATTACAGAATATTATGTTGTGTTAATATATTACAGTATATTGAGAATGATACATAAGAAATAGCCACTTTTCTTAAATTGAAAAATGTGACATATGTACTTATAAATTGTATATATTATGTGATTTTATATTCAATAATGCATTAACTAAAATTATTATATTTAATGCATTACATTTTCTAGTATATCCCTATATATTTTTGTTTCAGTAAAATAATAAAATTCATAAAAATAGTATATTTTCCCTTCAAAAACATTATCATTATCTAATTAAACCCCACTATGCATTTATTTATGAAGCTGTAAGCCTTTTACACAAAGAAAAACATTATTAAAGAAATTGTTTAGTTTGGGATCAGCTTGAGCCCCACAAAAACATTGCTGAAAAATGCAGTAAAAATAAGTAATATCACACAGGCATGGGTGCTGCATAACTGTGATTCATTGTGTCATATATTCAGTACAACAGCATGAATATGTGTGATATAAATACATTTCTATTTTTTGAAATCTCGAGCAAAGTATCTACTGCATTCTTAGGTAAAGGGTACAACATTTTTGTACCTTAATTACCCCGCTGAATTTTAAAAATACGTATATTAGTACCTAAAGTGTACATAATATTTTTGAAAGGGTACCACCTCAGTAGCAGTTTTGTGTTCTTAGACTGTGGTTATACATTTCAGATCTTCACCAGTATTGCTGTATTGTTTGCCTTCATGATTACTGTGTATTGTCACATCCTACTTATTTGACACACTTCTTTTTGCATACTCTGTATTGGGAATGTACTGTTCCTCTCTCTGCTTTTTTTT